GCTTCAGTGACAGGCGAAGCACATCGGCGACCCAAGCGCTCAAGAGCAGCGTGGGAAGGCGCCGGTGGGTGTAGACTCCGAGCTTCTTATGAATCAACCGGGGGGTGGCACACGCGAGAACGCGGCGCGGCTCACACCCCCCCTGGCACCACCCCCGCGCCCCAGCGGGGAAGGTAACGAACCCCAGGCCACCCCTGGCACCCCCGCGGACGCGCCGCGGCCAACCCCCCTGGGCACTCCAAGGGGGGGGGGCGATTATTAAGCGATCCAGAGTAGGTTTGCATCCTCCTCATCTTCTTCCTGTGCACGCCCTTCTTCCGGCGGCGGCGGCGGCGGCGGCGGCGACACCACCACGACACAGAGCGTCCGCCCCAGGAGATCCTCGCCATCGTCCAGGAGACCCTTGGCCCTGACGGCATCGCCAGGGGAGGAGGATGAGGTGGACAAGGAGGAGGAGGAGGAGGAGGAGGAGGAGGAGGAGGAGGAGGACCAGAGTAACTCCAAGACGTATCAAATGTGTGATCGTTTTCTTCTTCGTTGTTTTGCCGATCGGCGTGGGCCCTCGCACCCCCCCCCCGAAGAGAAAAACGTTCACTATGCCGCAATACATCCTCCCGTCGCGTATCCCCACTCTTAGTGGGCCCCAGAAACGGCAGGGCCGTTTTTTTCACGGCGAACAGAAACAGCAAACAAGCTGCGACCAGAAACGGTACGAAAACGGTTCCAGGATTGGAGCCGGAGCCAGAATCGGTGAAACAACGGCGACGGAGCCGGTACAACAACGGCGTCGGAGCCGGCAACAGAAACGGCAAAACGGAACCAGAACATAAGAACGGCCTTGTCGTTTCCAGGGCCCACTAATTACCAGCCTCGAATTTGATCCTTATCCCTAAGATTGACACGCCAAAAAGCGATGACAGTCTTAGGGATGTACCCTCAAAAAATAAGGGAATCCCTGAGATTGGCATCCTGAGGAGGAGATGCCCAGCATAGGGATAGGGATATGTTCCAGGCTGGTAAACTAAGATCCCCACTTCCTTCATGCCTACCAGCACTCTGTTTCCTTGCGCAAAGCGCACCCGCTCCCATGGAGAGCCGAGCGCCCCCCCCCCCCCCCCCCCCCCCCCGCGTTTCCGCCAGCTGTGGGCGGAGAGGCTACGCTACCTGAGAGGAGGGGAGGGATCTAGGAGGAGGAGGATGAATGAGGAGGAGGAGGAGGAGGAGGAGGAGGAGGGGAGGAGGAGGAGGAGGAGGAGGGGAGGAGGAGGGGGGAGAGGAGGAAGAGGAGGATGCGGAGGAGGAGGAGGAGGAGGAGGGAGGAGGAGGAGGAGGAGGAGGAGGAGGAGGCAGGCGGAGGAAGGAGGAGGAGGAGGAGGAGAGGAGGAGGAGGAGGATCAATCTGAGGAGGAGGCGGAGAGGAGGAGGAGGAGGAGGAGGAGGAGGAGGATCACTATAAGAAGGAGGCGGCGCGGCGGCGGGAGAGGAGGAGGAGGATGAGGAGGAGGAGCAGGACGAGGAGAATGATGAGGAGGAGGCGGAGGAGGAGGAGGAGGAGGAGGAGGAGAAGGGGGAGGGGGAGGGGGAAGAGGAGGAGGAGAAGGAGGATGATGATGCTGATGCTGATGCTGAGACTGAGGTGATGATGATGATGATGATGATGATGATGATGATGATGATGATGATGATGAGATGATGATGATGATGATGATGATGACGATGATGCTGATTGTGATGATGATGATGATGACGATGATGATGATGACGATGAGGAGGAGGAGGTGGAAGAGGATGCTGATGATGATGAGGAGGAGGCGGATGAGGAGGAGGAGGAGGGGGAGGAGGAGGATGGATGGGGAGGGGGAGGAGGAGGAGGAGGATGATGATGAGGAGGAGGAGGAGGATGAGGAGGAGGATTAGGAGGGGGAGGAAGAGGATGATGATGCTGATGATGACGATGCTGATAAAGATGATGATCATGATGATGCTGATGATGAAGATGATGATGATGATGAGAAGGAGGAGGAGGAGGAGGAGGAGGAGGAGGAGGGAGGTGGAGGATGAGGAAAATAGGAGGAGGAGGAGGAGGAGGAGGAGGAAGAGCAGAAGGAGGAGGAGGAGGAGGAGGAGGAGGAGCAATAGCAATAGGAGGAGGAGAAGGAGGGAGGAGGAGGGAGCAATAGGATGAGGAGGAGGAGGAGGAGGAGGAGAAGAAGGAGGAGGAGGACAAGGAGGAGGAGAAGGAAGTGGAGGAGGCGGAGGAGGAGGAGGAGGAGCAGAAGGAGGAGGCGGAGGAGGAGGAGGAGGAGGAGTGCGACAGTGAAGGGTCATCAAGCTAGAGAAGGTACCCAGCGACAGCACCGCTTTGAAAAGAGAGACTTCCCGCTCGTTGAGCTTTTGATCAATTTTAGATTTCGGGTAACACAATCTGCGGAAGTCTTGAGCGAGAGCCCCATTTGAAAAGGGACCGCCCTCCATCCGTGTAGCTGCTCTGCCATCGTGCGCCTGTGGCGATGCAATTTCAGGCGGCAGCGCCATTTTGAAAACGAGCCGTCCTCCATCTGTGTAGCTGTTGTTTCCTGTAAGCCATTTTGTGAACGAGCCGTCCTCCGTCTGTGCAGCTGCTGTTTCTTGTAAGACCAGCGTGCGCAGTGACCAGGCGAGAACCCCTGATCCTAGGACGGAGCCGCACTCCGCGCAGCTGCCGGAGCTTGATATATGAGCGTGCGTGGCGCCAGGGCGAGCAGCCCATGTCGAGGATGGACCGCCCGTATGACTGTGGCACATCTCAAGCTTCAGCGTCGTGCAGTCTTGAGGATGAGGAGGAGGATGAGGAACAATAGGAGGAGGAGGAGGAGGAGGAGGAGGAGGAGGAGGAGGAGGAGGAGGAGGAGGAGGAGGAGGAGGAGGAGGAGGAGCAATAGGACGAGAAGGAGGAGGACGAGAAGGAGGATGAGGAGGAGGAGGAGCAGGAGGAGCAACAGGAACCCATTTTGAGGATGGACCGCCCGTGTGAGTGTGGCACATCTCAGGCTTCCACGTCGTGCATGTTTGAGGAGATGTCGTACGGAACGTCGGGCCCGCCCTGGCGACACGTCTGGTGTTGCGACAGGGAGGAGGTAGTCGGGGGCGGAAAAGAGGGGTGTGATGACTAGGGGGGGGTGGATGTCATGGCGGGGGTCATGATATTTCCGCAGATTTCATGGCGCCTCTTCTTATTTCATTACGTCCCTGGCCCCCCCGCTGAGCCGCGCACATGCCGCCGGTCATAATTTGCCCCCCCCCCTCTTGGACACTCCCCTCTTGGCCGCTCCCGAGTTAGATGTAATAAGGATTTGGTTATGATGGGGATGGTGGTGGTGATGCTGGTGATGTGGATGATGAGGAGGACCATGCTGATGCTGCTGCTGATGCTGATGCTGATGATGATGGTGATTTGAGGGGGTTTCTGTCCGGCGAGATCCAGGAAATCTGGCGAATCTGGCGAATCCGGCGACGAATTCCAAACCGGCGCCCTCGCGTTGGACATCCTCAGAAAAACGGGCTCCTGGAGCCTCTCCAAGGAGGCCCTCAGAGCCTCAGATGCCCCCCTGTTCCGTTTCTGGCGAGATCCCGGAAATCCGGCGAATCAGGAGAATCGGGCGACGCATTCCAAACCGACGCCCTCGCGTGGGACGTCCTCAGAAAGACCGGTTCTCGGAGCCTCCCCAAGGAGGCCCTCAGATGCCCCGCTGCTCCGTTTCCGGCGAGGTCCAGGAAACTGCCCTTCCGAGCGGCCTTCCCTAACGCATCCAAGCCCGCAGGGGCACTGGATGAAGGTGCCGTCGAAATGGCTCCCTCCCCTGCCCTCGGCCTGCAATCGCGGCCTTTGGGATGGGGAAGGTCGAGCTCGGGGGAAAACAAGCACAGCTTTAGCAACATACATCAAATAAGCTCTCAGAGCCTTGCTCTCGGCGAGTGCAGCTGCAACCTCCTCGCTGGAGGAGCAGGGAGGAAGAGGAGGAGGAGGAGAAGGAGGAGGAAGAGGAGGAGGAGGAGGAGCAGGAGGAGGAGGAGGAGGAGGAGGAGGAGAAGGAGAGGAGGAGGAGGAGGAGGAGGAGGAGGAGGGGGAGGAGAGGAGGAGGAGGGGGAGGGAGGGAGAAGAGGAGGAGGACGAAGAGGAAGAGGAGGAGGAGGAGGAGGGAGGGATGAGGAGGAGGAGGAGAAGGAGGAGGACGAGGAGAAATGATGAGGGTGATGGAGGAGGCGAAGAGCATGCGGGGGAGGATAATGGGAGCAGGGAGGAGAGGAGGAGGAGGAGAAGGAGGAGGAAGAGGAGGAGGAGGAGGAGCAGGAGGAGGAGGAGGAGGAGGAGAGGAGGAGGAGAAGGAGGAGGAGGAGGAGGAGGAGGAGGGGAGAGGCAGAGGAGGAGGAGCAAACGGGAGGTGGAGGAAGAGGAGGAGGACGAAGAGGAGGAGGAGGAGGAGGAGAGGAGGAGGAAGAGGAGGAGGAGGATGAGGAGGAGGAGGAGAAGGAGGAGGACGAGGAGAAATGATGAGGGTGATGGAGGAGGCGAAGAACATGCGGGGGAGGAGGCGAAGAGCATGCGGGGATAATGGGAGTAGGAAGACCAGGATTGATGAGGAGGATGAGGAGGAGGAGGAAGAGGAGGAGGATGAGAACAAGGAGGAGAAGGAGGAGGAGAAGGAGGAGGAGGAGGACGAGGAGGAGGGGGAGGAGGAGGAACAGGAGGGAGGAGGAGGACGAGGAGGAAAGGGATAATGGGGCCAGTAGCAGTAACAGCAGCAGCAGCAGCAGCAGCATCAGGAGCAGAAGTAGGAAGTGCTTTGAAGCAGGGGGAGGAGGAAAGGGGGAGGAGGAGGGAGGAGGCAGAGGAGCGATGAAGGAGAATGATGGGGCAGTGGGCGAGGGGTTCTTGTTGAACGTCGGATGAAGCGTCTCGTTGTTCTCGCAAAGGGGGGAGGGCGGGGGGGAGGGACGAGGGAGACATCGGCGGCGACAAGCCCTGGCCGAGGAGATCCGGGCCCTGATCAGCTCGCCAGGGGACAGCCTGCTGCACTCCAGCCTGGGCAGCTTTCCAGAGACCGTGAACAGCCAGGGGCGCTCCGTGCTGGAATCCGACTCGGTCGCGCAGGACTTGCGGCGTTTTCGTCGCCGTCACCGTCGCCGCCGTCGTCGTCGGCGTCATTGCCATTGTCATTCTTATCCTCCTCCTCCTCCTCCTCCTCCTCCTCCTCCTCCTCCTCCTCCTCCTCCTCCTCCTCTTTCTTCTTCTTATTGCACTTATGATTGCACTTGCACTTATTATTCCTCGTCTTATTTTTATTGTTTGTTTTCTTGTGGTTCTTCTCTTCTGTCTCCTCGTACTCCGCGAAGATTGGGGAAGGGTGCTTCGTGACCGGGGCAGACGGGGGAAGCCGAACGGGGATGCGCGGAGGGTGCTGTTTGCTCAGCAGGGCTCCCTGTTCTGCTGGCAGGCTCCTCTCCCCTCCCTCCCCGTGCTTCCCTTCCTGCCTCGCTCCTTCCTTCTTCCCTCCCCGCTGCCTCCCCTCCATCTCCCCGCCTCCTCTCGTTTTTTTCTTCCTCCTTCCCCTTCCTCCTCCCTGCCCCTCCTCCTCCCCCTCCCTCTCCTTCTCCTCCTCCTCCTCCTCCTCCTCCTCCTCCTCCTGGACCGTGACGGTCGGCGCCCGTGATGGTCGGCGCCCTAGACTTCAGCGAGTTGTCGTTCGCTCTCTGTCTTCGTCCATGTTCTCCGACACCTTCGCCTCCACTATCGCCAAGCGTTCAAAAATCCTGGATCCCTCATCCGAGGCTCCTGCCGATTCAGCGCTTCGCTGGCAGGCATTGCGGCGAGAGCTCGCGCAGCCATCCCCGGCCCATCCGTGGTGCGTGGTGAAGACACTCTTGCGCGGGCTGGGTCACGTCCCACAGAATGCACGTCCTGAGGCCTCGGTGTTGCCATTTCGGTGGCTCGGCACGGGACTCGATGTGCCATGATTGGCAGCGTCCTCTCGTTTAACCCATTCTTCCGCCCTCCCCCGTGCCGTTCCGTGCCCTCGCTTACTCGTCACGTGGGGACTGGGCTCCGAAGAGGACCACGCCTCCCCAGACGATGCTCGCCTGGCTGTCATCCGTGGGATGATCATCGCATTCTATATCTTTCACACCGTGAAGGTCGAGCTGGACTCTCCGCCAGAACGTCGTAGAGAGCGCACCCGTTGCTCCTACGACTTCGCGCGCAGATGCCTGTTGGCGGCACGCCAGAGCGCCGAGCTATGAAATGCGGACGGGCTGGTGTTGGGTGGGCGAATATAAGAGGGAGGAGGTTCTGGGGGACAATTTGGTTAACAAGCCATTTTCCCAGCTCAGCTAAGAGCTAGTAGAGCAGCAGGCCAGAAAAAGGGTCACACTTTGTTGCAGCGGGATTGCTGCAGATCATCGGAATATGGTGGGGATTGGGCTAGTTTGTGGGGATTTGGCGGGTTTTTCATATCAGAACTTGTCGTGGCACGTCCGTGTTCCCGCCTTTGGCCGTTGAGCACAGGCACGCCTCTCTCTTTCATGTTCCCCCGCGGTCCACTGCTCGACCGCGGCGAGGCCTCGCCTCTTGTAAAGTGTGCGCGCTGGCCTCTCTTGGGACGGATCGGCGCGCCTCCAGCTACTTCTCCTCCTCCTCCTCCTCCTCCTCCTCCTCCTCCTCCTCCTCCTCCTCCCTTCTTCTCCCCGCCGCTTCTTCTCCTTCTCATCCTTCTCCTTCTCCTCCTCCTCCTCCTCCCTTCTTCCTCCTCCTCGTCCTCCTCCTCCTCCTCCTCCTCCTCCTCCTCCAGGCTTCGTCGTCATCGTCGTCCTCCCTCCTTCTTTGTCTGCGTGCTCTGGGCGCGCGCGTCGCCCCCCGCAGGAACGCCGCAAAAAAAACGCGCCGCCGCGCAAGCGACGCCATCTGGCGAATTGGCGCTTGCTGCCCTGCCTCGCGGCGGCGCTGTTCCGCCGCGCGCTGCTGGCGTCGCTTGTCCGCTGCGCGCTTTTTCTTGCCGCCGCGGCGCGCCCGCCCAGCAGCACGCGGACAGGCGCGCGCGCGTTCCCCAGGGTGGGCACGCCGCCGCCGCCACGAGAACAGCACAACAACCGCAGGCCCCACGGCCAGCGTGCAGTCTGGCATGCACGCGGGCCGTGGCGTTTGCGGCGGCGGCGGCGACCGCAAGCCATTTCCAGCAGGCGCAGACCCGCCAGACTGTTCCGTCTGCGCGGCGGTCCTTTTCTGCAGCGTTCTTGCGGCGGCGGCGCGCCCGCCCAGAACGCGCGGCCAAGCGCGCGCGCGGTGTTGGGTGGGCGCGCCGCCGCCACAAACACAATACAGCAACCACAAACACCGCGGTTAGCGTGCATTCTGCAATGCACGCTAAGTGTGGTGTTTGGGGGGCGGCGGCGGCGGCGGCGGGCGGCGGGCGGCGGGCGCTTGCGTCCTATGTATGCGGTTTTGCGCGGTGGGAGCCCCTGTTGCGCTGTTTTGCGCGGCTGGGGCTCCGTTTGGGCGGTTTTGCGCGGTGGGGTCCTGGTTTGCGGGGTTTTGTTGTTCGGTTTTGCGTTGTGGGGCTTCGTTGGTATGGTTTTCCACAGCGGGGGCACCGTTTGTATGGTGTCCCATGTTGTGGGCACCGCGTGCACGGTTAGCGTGCACGCGGTGTACCGAGTGCGCGCTAACCGTGCACGCGGTAATCACGCTGACCGCGTAACCACGCCAACCATGAACCACGCTAACCTCATCTCCATCTGAAATGCAGACTAAGCGCACATACTGTACGCTATTCAAGGGAAGGGCGGGTAGCGTCTCCCAACAGGGGTGGTTAGCGAACGTGCGTACTCCAAATGAAAACCGTTGAACAAGAGTCCCCAGCGTGCACAACACCATACAAAAGGGGGCCCCGCCTGGCAAAATTGTGCAAACGTGGCCCCCGCCTCGCTACAAAACCATGCAAGTAGGTTTCCCACCGTGTGTGACTGTGCAAGCGGTGTCACCAATGTGGAAAACCGTGCAAACGAGTTCCCCAATGTTTGCACGGTTTTGCACGGTTTTGCGGCAACGCTTGCACGGTTTTGCAAGGTTTTCCACGGTGCGGACTCCGTTTGCAGGTCGGGTGTCTTGGGGGGCCATCTTCCTTTGGGATACGCTAGCCGCCTTCATTGGGAGACGCTAGCCGCGACGGCCCTCGAATATCGTACGCGTGGTTAGCCTGCGTTTCCAGATGAATTTGCCGTTAGCTTGTGTGCACGGTTAGCGTACGTCGACAGGGCCCGAAGATGCACGCTACCTTCTCCTACCTGACCGTTCTCAGACCCCGCGTTGCAATAGTGGAACGAAGGATGACATAAACATAAACATTCGGAGGTCCGCGCGGACCTCCGAGTTTTAATGTTTATGTCATCCTTCGTTCCGCTAGAAGCCCCGACCTGTCCTGCCTGCTTTTGCGTCGGGTGCCCTGGCTCTGCACGCCCCGATCCGCAGAGCTGGCGTTGCTGTATAGCGCGCGGGGCGCAGGGCTGCGGGGGCGAGGCCTCGCCGCCGCGGCGAGGCCGTGGGGGGCCTCGGAAGCGGCGAGGCGCTGGGCGTAAGCTGCCCGCGTAAGGTCGCGCGTGAACGCCCTTGTTTCCGATCCCAGCGATCCGACGCTCCACAGAAATCGGAGCGGGCGGATGTCGGCCGTCTTCGGCCCGCGAGAGCTCTCGCCGGACCTCGGGAGCGTCAACAAAACGACTCTGCAGGAACAGCCGGCCCTGGGGGAAGTGGTCCGGACCTCTGGGGCCCACGCTGGATGCCCGGGATGCGGCGATGTCGCGCTGGCGGCCCGCGTCAGCCACCGCGCCAGGGTCGCTGCGGTGCAGTGCGCGAGGCCCCCCTCGCTTCCGTCGCTCGGGCGGCAAGCGTGGGCGCAGCGGGGAGCTGCTTCACTGTCTCGGGAGGGGCGCTCCGCGCCTGCGTGTGCGGCCGTTGAAGCATGCAGCAGTTTCCGTTTGCTTGGCTTCGTGTCACGTTTCGCTAGTTCGTAGAGTTCTTACGCAGGCACGTTGACACAAGTTTGTGTAGATCGCATGCGCGCTTGGACGTCGTTCGATTCAGAGCAACGCCTGGAATGTTCAACCACACGCTGAAGTTCAGGGCAGTTCGGGCGACATGCAGTGTCCGTTAACATGTTCGTTGTCTTAGGCATCGAATGAAGCAGTTGAGCCGTATTAGCGTAGCCGCATCATGGCCAACATATCCAGTGTCCAACGTGTGCAAGGCAATCTTTCCAAACGTAATCCCTCATTTCGTCCCCTTCCTCAGCGTCTTCTCACTCCACCCGCTGTGATGGGCCTGTTTTCCACCACCATAGGTAGGAGAGGGAGGGGGTTCTCCTCCTCCTCCTCCTCCTCTTCCTCGTCGTCCTCCTCCTCCTCCTCCTCCTCCTCCTCCTCCTCCTCCTCCTTCCCCCCTCCAACTTATGGTGGTAGTGGTGGTGGAAAACATGCCCATCACGCTGCCCTCTGATGCTGTGCCTTCCTCGCCTGCTGCAGGCGAGCAGCCCGCCTTCTTAGGGCCGCCGCAGAGAAACAGCAGAGCCAGGACCTGCTCGAGCCTCCAGACAGCCCACGGCACACCGGCCAGCTCAGCAGCGCGGTCACGCTTGGGAGTGAGGAGACCTCCGCGCTGGAGGGCGATGAGGCTATTCAGGACCCGCCTGGGCCGATACATACACATATATGTATATGCGTATATATATATATATATATATATATGTATCTTATACAGATTTACGTATATGTATATGTGTGTATACGTATACTGCAAAGGCTTTGCGACCAGTGCCGCCGACCCTGCCTGAGGGGGTGCGACGACGACGGCGGTGGCGACGACGATGACGACGACAACGACGACGACGACGACGACGACGACGACGCCGAAAGCTTCTCCCAGGGAGGGGTGCTCCGCCCCACGGAGGGGTCACAGGCTCTGGGCGCCCTCCCCCCGCGGGACCCCCCCCACCCCCCCAGGACCCCCCCGACTCTCCAAGGCAACGATAGGGGGGCATAGGCATAGGGGGGGGATGCATCGACCTCCAATCGCACATTGATCGCCGATAGGGGTCTGATAGCCCCACCCCGACCAGGAACGTGCAGATTCACTATCGGGGGCCTATCGACGATCTATCGGCGATTTATCGCCGATTCCAGGTCGATGTTTTCCCCCTTGTGCCAGCCCCCCCTTGTTGTTGCCCGTCGCACTCCGGCGGGGAAGGGATCAAAGAGAAGGGGGTGTCCTTTCGACTCGATTGCGCAGTTGCTTGATTTTCTCCTTGCTGGAACGCTGGAGGGGGAGCGGTGGCGACGACGACGATGGTGACGACGTCGACGACAACGACGACGTAAATGGAAAACCGTCCCACACACAAACAGGTTCGGCGGATCTTTTCACACATCTACATATTTATGCATATAAGAAATGTTTGTACGCATGTAAAAAACAAATGGTGATCGTGACGATGATCACTATTATAATCACCATGAACATCGCCATAACCACGATCACCACTACCATCACCGTCACTTCCCACCACCGCCATAAATCACGAACATGACCATCACGACGACGTTCACTGTCATCATGTCCATCACCACCACCATCATTACCATCATTGCCATCATCATCATCATCATCATCATCATCATCATCATCATCATCATCATCATCATCATCATCATCATCATCATCATCATCATCATCATCATCATCATCATCATCATCATCATTATCATCATTGTCATCATTACCAGTCGTAGCAATTCGGGCTCAAGGTTCCCTCACGCCACTGCATGCCGTGCCGACGAGCCGAGCTCGTGACTGGGGCCGCCTTGCGCAAAAAGGCTGTGGCGACGTCGGACCTGTGCCGAGGGATAGAGTTTCCGGTAAGGGAGGAAAACCACCTGGACCAGACAATGGGCGTTTACTAAACGGCCCTGGGCAATTTACCGAACAGCCCTGCCTTGTTCGCTTTTTTCTTTGGGTGCATTCGCTAAACGGCCTCGCGTGTCGGGGTGGTGATTATCGGGATGGACGTTTTGCCTTATCATCGAGAGCTGAACGCATTGCGAAGGCCGAGCTCCCAGAGGTCCAGAGCCGCCTGGCCACGCATTGGGGCGGGCACGAGGCGGCCACGGGCGCCAAGAAACACCCTGCTTGCCTCAAGGGTGCCCCGGGTTTCCTAGGTTTCGCTGGCGCTGCTGTTGGAAAGCGTGGCGTTCACACGCCAGGAGTCAACGGACGTCGTGGGGTCTCAGGGTTGTGCTTCTCGTGGGAGGTCTCTTGTGCACTGGCCTCCGCTGCAGGCGAGCACTCGGAAGCGCAGGCCAACTATCTAGCCACAGGAGCAAGAGCCCCCCTCTGCAAGCACGGTTTGAGCCACCGGGTCCGCCTGGGGGGCGGCCGGGGCCGTTTGTCCCGGCAACTCCGATGCAGGACAGAGAAGGCGAAGCACAGTGCAGACGCGATGTTTTCGAGGCGGCGGAGAAATGCGGAGGTCCAGCTAGATACGCGTTCGAGCAGGATTTGGTCGCGGACTTCGAGCGGGAGCCGCAGCCTGCAGCAGGTGCAAGCCCTGGGCCACGACGACGGGAGGAGGGGGGTGGTGGCTCGGAGCGGATGGATGGAGGCCCGCGCGGCGGGAACGACCACTCCTTGGGGCGGGGAGGCGGCGCCTGGGTGCGGCGGGGCTGGGGCCGCTGCACGTGTGGGGAATCGGTCGACAGCCCAAGTGAACATACACTCCAGGCGATGCTTAAGAAAACCCAAGTTTTCGACCAGAGTCTCGATTATTCTTAATGTTTCAATGTAAACCCTGAGATTTTAATAGAAATGTTGGGTTTGTATTCAAGTTCTGAGACTATGAATTTCTTAACCCATGATTTCTTAAGCATTTCGCAGGGTGTACGCGTGGATGCGGGTATGTCTCAGGAGTGGGCGCAGGGAGTGCAGTAAGGCGTCAGCGGCGGAGATTGGCACTGAGATCTCCAGTGATTCGGATGCAACTCCTGGGAGGTCAAATTCTGATCTTGCCCTGGTCCGAAATCCGGCTTAATCCCGCTTAATCCCGCTTAATCTGGCTTAATCCCGCTTAATCCGGTTTAATCCCGCTTACTCCGAGGCCCACTCCGGCGTAATAGCCCCCAAATGGGGCTTGATCCTCCTTAATCTTTCCGACGAAAACCTCCCAGCAGTTGCCTCCTAACAGTGAGAGGAGGAGCCGTGGGCCGCAGGGCACTTGCACAGCAGCAGCGGCCCACTGGGCATCCCCTGCCCCACCGCCCGCCTGGGACGTGCTGGGCGCCCGCGGCAGCTGGCGGCGACGTGTCACAAGAAGTGCAGTTCACAAGGGCTCCCTCGAGGGCGCGAAGTTATTCGCGCTTCGCGCTTCGCGGTCCTCGTTCCTTCTCCCCCTCCTCCTCGTCCTCCTATTCTCCCTTTGGGGGGGCGGCGCGAGGGCGCGAAGTTATTCGCGCTTCGCGCAGCGCGAAGCGCGAACTTAGGAGCCCTTGTTCATTCTGCAGAGGGAGGTCGCCATGTCGAGAAGACCTGTTCGGTTTGTAGGGCGTGGCTGGAGGAACACGGTCACCCGAAGGAATAGGAGGGCCTGAAGGTGCAGCCTGCGATACTGTAACTTTCAAGTGTGTGTGTGTGCGTATGAGTGTGAGGTCGTAACAGGCCGTGTCAAACTTTCCGTGAAGTATGCAATGGATCGTTTTGTTTGTCAAGCAGAAAGAGTGTTGTACGCACTGCTGGTGAGTGCGCGCTTACACTTCGAAACCAAACTGGCAACAGTTTGGATTTGTATATTTCTGGCCCGTGCATTTCGGTTTGTCGTGTTGTTTCTCTTTGTGAACCCATTTTCTCCGATCCGCGTTCATCCCACTTTCGTTCATTCATATGTTTTTGGTCCCCAGCCTCTGCTCAGATCTACTTTCCTCGAATGTTCATTTTCATTGTCCCCATCCCCTCTTCCACCATCTCGTCCCGATCGTGACGCCCACGGAGGAACGCCTGGCTGCTATGATCCAGGACAGCGTGGCCGCATCCGACTCCCCGCACCACGAGTTGCCAGGGCGCCCAGACAGTGTTATGGGAAGCCATGAGGATTCCGTGCGGGGATGTGAGGCGCCCGAGCTGGATGGGCCAGTCTTCCTGCTTCTCCCATGTCCGAGTCCACCTCTTTGCCTTTTTCTGTTGCTGAAGGCCCCTCACACTCGTAAGCCCATCGCCGTGGCACTCGCGCTACACCCACCAGGCTTTCTTCGTTCCTCCTTCCTTTCCAGCTTGGCTTCATCGTCGTCCCGATGGCAAGCAAGCCTGTCGCGTGTCGCCGACATGACGCATGTCTCTGAACTGAAGCTGTTGGGGGGATTTTTCCCAACTTCGACCCACGCGTGCATGCCCACGAGCAGCATGCACCAAGTGTTGAGGGCCGCACGAGGTGACACGTACGGTGATAGGACGCAATGCAAGTGGAATCTCAAAAGCAGCCGCGCGTGTGAGGGGTTCGGCCTCCGAGACAGAGGATGCGGGACACAACATGTCAGACGTGTCAGCTGCAATGTTGAGAGTGCCAGCAGCAAATCATTTTGCGAACAGCCCATTCTCCAAGGGCTCCCTCGAGGGCGCGAAGTTATTCGCGCTTCGCGCTTCGCGGTCCTCGTTCCTTCTCCTCCTCCTCCTCGTCCTCCTCTTCTCCCCCTTGGGGGGCGGCGCGAGAGCGCGAAGTTATTCGCGCTTCGCGCAGCGCGAAGCGCGAACTTAGGAGCCCTTGATGTTGTGTCACAATGCATTTGCATACAATGTGTTGGGCTCGCGAGTTGCATTATGATTTCCGAGGGCTGCGCTCTGCAGCGCCATCCCACCTTCTCTTCCAACCACCCCTCTCCCATCCAGCTCC